GAGGTGATCAGCACCTCTTCCAATTCTTAGCCTAATACATCTGGCCCTTTTAGATATGCTGGAATTTGGCTCCTTCTTCCAGAGCTGCACAGGGCAGCTTAACACCAGTCATTCCATCCTGCTTCCATAGCTTAACATTTATTTTTGCCTCAGCCAGATACAGATAAAGCTTTAGCAAAAAAAAAAAAAAAAAAAAGCCAAGTATTTCTGCAGCCCAAGTTTTGCAGGAACAGAGATTCTGGTATCAACACCACGACAGTAAAGATAAGATCCAGCAGAATAAATTTTAAAAGCAAAGGAAATTATACCAACAACTGGAGCTCCTCAGAACACAAGGATTCATTAAATTCCTGCCCAAAGATGCTCTAATTCTCCTGAAAGAAGTCTCAGGTTCAAAATGCTATATTTTTCTACTCTCTTTCTTAGATGAAGACATATCATTGCACATCATCCAGCTTATGTGTCACTGAGTCAGAGCCAGCAGCAGAGGAGCAGAGCAATCACAGCATATCCTGACAGCTTTTGTTTAAAAAAGTTCACGTGAGGGTGTAGTTTAATCCAAACCACTCCGAAGTCCAAACCAAACCCACCATTTTGTACTTCCTTACATTTTGTACCTGTCCCATGTTTATAAGCAGCATTAGCCTCCAAAACACACCTAACAGAATTCTGTGCAGTTTTAATTAAAAGCTAACACCCAGTTCCTCGAAAAGGCTGCCTTCGGTGTTTCATGAAATAACAGCTCCCCCTAACTGACTTTTTAGGTATCACCCTGCGAGTTGCAAAGGCTACTTGCCAGTCCTGCTCTAGCCCACCGGGAAGGGCATTTGTGCATTTGTAAGAACCATTTCCTTATATGATTGCTAGAAATGCAAAATAAAGAGGCACATTAAGGCCAGTAGAAAAGTACCTCAGCTCGCTGCCTGTGTGGCATAACTCCAAGATAAATTTCTTATTAAAATGCTTATATTTAGACATGCAGTTCAACAAATAACATCAGGAAAGCAATAGCACACAGAATTAGCTTCACCTTTCACTCTTCCCTCACCATGGAATTGCTTTAACATATAGAAGGGGAGAATAAACAATAAGTAGTGGCAAATAATTTACAAAAATACGACCATTATCCAGAGCAAAGACATGATTTCTATTCACTGCCCCATCACTTGTCTTTATAACAGTCTCAGGATCTGTATACACATTTTTATTAATCCTCACTTAGGGCTCTCTGATCTCACTCACCTGTACCAAAGCTACTCAGGGAAGAGATGCCACGTGCCTTTCACAGCATCTTCCACAGGAAGCCCAAGGAAAGCTGCAAAATCATCTGCACTATCAGTGTCTGAGCCTGAGAAACCAGGGCAAGGGCTCATCTCCTGGTGCCATCTGAGGACACAGAAACACTGTGAGCAGACAGAGACTCAACTCCACAGGTAGGAAATCTGAGGATACTTTCCCAATTCTGACGCCTTTGGAAAACCAATACCAGCCCCAAAGTGAGCACTTCCAAAGTTCCCCCTCCCTTCCCACACTCCACTGACCCAGTTCACTCAGCAGCCAGAGACAACAACTTCCTCTACCAGGACAAAACCCCTCAGAGACCACACTGACCTCCAAACGCAGATCTTGGGCACTCCCACCAGTACATAAACCACTTCAGGAAACCCTGCACCTGATGGCATTCTCCACTTGCAATAGGCTCGTGTGTCAAACAGTTCAGAAGCAGGAAAAAAATTGAGGAAAAAAATGAGTTAAACTACTAACGGCATCTAAAAATCAGTTGTTTCTAAAGCTACAGAGAATTTGTTATGGCAAATAAGAAGGCTTCTTAGCAGTCTGTGCTGCCCTCTGGTAGCAAGAATTTGCATGTTACCATTTCACAGTCTCTAAAACGTTTGTCTCAAGTCACAGGTAACAGATAAACCTTCTTATGAGTGTCCCAAGGTTCTGAAATGCCAAGCCAAGTTCCCTAAATTACTGCTCAGAAGTCTGATAAAAGTGAGTAACTAATGGTCTGTTTTGCTGTCACAGAACAAACCATGTGGTTTATGAAATTCCAGTATGTATAATATACAATCACAGACACAACCCTACTACAAACAACTTAGTTTGTTTTTACAAGGTTTTGTCATGAGGTTTTTATTTACACCCAATACCTAAAATCCTTTCAGGAAAACCTACACAAATTTGGCAACAGTTCTCATTTCTCATAATTAGTGTTTGAGCACACAGGAATCATTTCAGGCAATTCCCTTCTGCCCACACAAGGTCACTTTGGACCTCTGAGTGCTTCCAAGTCTCTCTGTCAGATTCTCTGTCCCACTGACCAAACTGCTCCACGTTCAGCATTTGCCTGTTGTGACCAAAAACCCTCCCAAATGTTCATCCAGAAGAATGTCTTCTCTGCAGTGGTCACAGCTGTAAATCCAGTACTTACAGATCTGATGGCAGGAGGGATTCTTTTCCAGAGATACCGCGTGTTATTCCTAAAAAAAATGAATTTCAAAATACTTGTCAGTCACCAAATGCTTGCTGCAAGGAGACACCAAAAGGTGTGTTCACATCTGTCCTGAACAGTCTCAGTGCTTTGAAACAGTCCTTCTAGGCAGGAATATTTTACACTGCAGTGCAAAAGCAAAGCTACTCTTGAAGAAGTTGTTAATACTGTTAAATAGCTTTGCTTGGTTTACCTGAGAGGCCTGCCTGGGATTGATGCTCTAAAATTTTTGCTTGTCTGAAAAAAACTTGCCTGAGAATAATGTTGTTAATGCTTTTGCTTGCTTGAGAAACTTGCCTGAGAATCCTATAACCTTTAAGATAAGACACACAGTTTGTAGATGGAAAGGATGTATGTCTTTGTATTGCTTAAAAGGAGAAATTAAGCAGAAATTAGCCATCCAAGAACAAAGAAGAACCAGTTTCAAGACTTGGAAACAGGACAACTGAAAGGGGGCTGTTAAACATTGTTTGTTAAATCATGTACAGTATGAATAAGGTTTTTTAATTTTTTCTACTAACACTTAAATAGAAATAGTTAATAAAGAATTAATGTAGAATTTTTTTAGGCTAAAGTTATGTATGCGACAAACAATAAGTATAACCTTACATTTGCTGTGTCCAGCTCTGGGCCCTCAGTTCAGGAAGGACATTGAGGGATTGGAGCAGGTCCAGAGAAGAGCAACGAGGCTGGGGAAGGGTCTGGAGCACAAGTGCTGTGAGGAGAGGCTGAGGGAGCTGGGGGGGCTCAGCCTGGAGAGGAGGAGGCTCAGGGGAGACCTCCTCACTCTCTGCAACTCCCTGACAGGAGGTTGTAGCCAGGTGGGAGTCAGGCTCTTCTCCCAGGAACCAGCAGTAGGACAAGAGGGCTCAGTCTTAAGCTGTGCCAGGGCAGGTTTAGGTTGGATATTAGGAAGAAATTTTTTGCAGAGAGGGTGCTCAGCCATTGGAATGGGCTGCCCAGGGAGGGGGTGGATTCTCCGTCCCTGGAGGTTTTTAAGGTGAGACTGGATGTGGCATCAGTGCCATGGGCTGGGAACCACAGCGGGGTTGGATCAAGGGTTGGACTTGATGATCTCAGAGGTCTTTTCCAACCCAGTTGATTCTATGGTTCTATGATTTTTGCTGAAATTGCTGAGAATTTTATAACTTCTAGATGAAGAGGACTGAACATAAATTTTGCGAACAGATAGAAAATATCTTCAAACTGACAAGCAACAAATCAACATTAAAGGCTGCAAAGCAAAAAGATACAGCACAATAAAGGATTCATTTATGGACTAAAACCCAAAAGCTGAAGTGTTTCAGCGACTGCAATTGTCAAAAAAGGATGCTGGATGGCAGCAAAGACTGTGAAATAGTTACAGCAGACTTGCAGAGTGTGAGTGTCAACAGAGGCTGTTGAGAGGAGCACATACTCTGGGCAGGGAGCTGCAATCCTGCCCCAAGTGTGCAGGGCTCTGCTCCCTGCACTAACAGAGCAGAGAGAGATTTCAGGGGCACAGGGGGTTTTGGTGGCCAGCACTTTCCAGTTGATCCCGCTGGGCCCTGCTCCCTCCTGGGTGGGATGGCCCTGGCAGGAGGGGCTCCTCGGGTCCCCACCCATCCGGGCTCTGACCTTGTCTCTGTTCCTCTCTGTTCCAGCCCTTCAAGCCATGACAGATGACAAGAACCATGACCTCACACCTGAAAACACTGACATTCTGAGAGCTCCCTACCCCAAGTTCCAGCAGCTCCGAGACCAGCTCTGCAGGGCATGGAGTACCCAGCCCTCTCTCTGGGGTTGTGTGTGCCTGTGATGCTGTAGCTGTGTGGAGAGTTGATGCAGGCAGCTCTGTCTGTTGGGGTCATCTGAGCCTGTGGGGAAGACGCCTCTTCTCTGCAAGCCCTTCCTTCTACCCCAGTGACAAAATATTAAACAAATATTGTCATACACAGAGTTTTATTTGGTGCCTGGTGTCCACAGGGCATTCTGGGAAGAGGGGAAAAAGGGCTCTTGTGCTCAGCAACATTTGCCCTAAGGTGCAGTAGGGAAGGAAGTGTCCAAAAGGCCCTTGGCCTTGGGGGTTCTGCTGGAGCCTCGACACTTTCAGCAGAGCGGATGGGCAGAGCCTGGAGCTGTAGGGCTCCCTGAGAAGCTGGTCCTGGGAGGTGGCCACAAGCCCTGTGCCAGGCGGGAAGCAGCGTCTGTGGCCTGCCCGTGTGTTGCTGTCTGGCTTGCTGAGGGCTGGGAGGTGCCTGCTGAGCCAGCTCCCGTGGAGCTCCTTCAGGGCTGCGCCGCTGCGGGGCCGGTTGTTGGGGCTGCGTCGGCAGCCGAGGGGGCTCCTTCTGCTGCCGTGGGCAGGCACAGCAGGGGAGGGTTTGCTTAGTTTTTCAGCTGTGCCTAAAGTTCGTGTCCAGCTACCTTGGATACTTTGGAGAACGGACTCCTTCCCACCTGGGGCAGGTTGTTTGGGCTGGAGGAGTCCCCAGGGCACGTGGCAGTGTGTCACAGGGCCCTTTGTGACACGTGAGGACATAGTACTGGTGGTGAGGTGGCAACACCTCAGTGCTCCTCGGAGCGTGCGACGGGACGGACGGGACAGAGCGGTGCTGTGCGGAGCCCCCGTGCAGCCAACTCGTTCCTTTCTGACCGGAGCGTTTTGGAGGCTTTTCTTTTGTGCGAGCGACCTCGAGGCCAGACCGTGGGAGTTGGTGACACGGAGCTTTTGCGAGGTGTCCCCCATCCCTGCGGCAGCTGCCCTCGAGGCTGCACTGCAGGACCTGCTAACCCCTAGCGTTTGCTAGGCTTTTCTGTCTTTCAGGTGTCCTTGAGCCCACACTGCAGGACTTCCTGACCCATACCGTTTGTTAGGTTTTTCTCTCTTTCAGGTGCCCTCGAGGCCAGACTGCAGGATTGGGGACCCGGAAATTTTCCGGAGTCTCCAATCCCTGCGGTAGGTGGCCTCGAGGGCAGCCTGCCGGACTTGGTGACCCGGAGATCTTCCGAGGTGTCTCTCTCTTGCAGGTGCCTTCAAGAGGCAGACTGTGGGATGGCGGGAAGACGCCTGAGCCTGCTCAGGCCCTTTCGGAAGAAGAAGGAAGGCCCTGGAGCTGCCCCATCCCAGCACCTGGAGAATATGGAGCAGCTGCATCCCCTGCAGGAAGGTGAGTGGCAGAGCTGGGCCCCAGGGCTGGTGGCTGCAGCCGGCTCTGCCTCATCCCACCCCGTCCCCTGTGGACATGGCCAGGGAAAGGGAGGGGGGGAAGAGGGCCCGGGACTCTTCCCCTGGCAGCTCCATGCACTGACCATCCCGGGGCTGGCCCTGCCTGTGGAGCGCAGGGCTGGGCCGTGTTCTCCGGCCTGTCCCGCAGCCCCTCAGCTCTGACCGTGCTCACTCTTTGCCAGATCCAGGCCGGGACCAGAGACAAGAACAGGACCGTGCCCGTGGCCGCTTCCGCAGGGCAGCACAGGTACCTGCAGCCACGGCCTCCTGGGCTGGGCCTGCTGTCCCTCCTCAGCCTGGCACCGCTGTCAGAGCTCACCACGGCACATCCCTCTCTTCCCTGCTCTCCGTTCTTCTGCAGGCCTTCCTGAAATTCTTGGGCATTCGGCGTAAAAGGACCACAACCAGACCAACTGAGGTCATGGCACAGCCTGACCCCAGCCTGACTGAGCTCGAGGCGGACCCTGATGTCACCACCACACTGACTGATGACACAGGAAACTGTGATACCCCGACAATTGTTCACGCAGCAAAGTCTGACCCTACTATGACTGATGCTACAGCAGACCCTGACAGCCCATCCATCGATCGCACTGCAATCCCTGACATCCTGTTCAGCGATGAACCCACAAACTCTGGAGCTGCACCACCCGATCTCACTGTGGAGGCCGACACTGCAATGACCGAGGGCACTGCAGACACTGACCTCGTGCCCAGGGAGAGTGTGAATTATGCTCCCACTACAGATATTTTTGAGGAGAATGGTGTCTCCAGTCCAGAGCAAGTAAGCAGCCTGCGCCCAAGGCTCAAGCCACTCCAGGGGCTTGTGGCCCCTCAAGCCAGCTCCCCTGGGCCCTCTCAGCCTTTGAGGCCAGCACAGTGTGGTGGGAAGGGAAGCACTTGTCAAGGAACCTGGGCAAGTTGGCAGCTCTTCCCCCATGCCTCCTGCAGGTGCCAGCCTTCGTCAGGAATGTGCACCAGAGAATGACAGCCAACGCGACTCCAGAAGAGAAGCTGCTGACGGAGTTTCTGAGGGTGACTGATGAACACCCTGGTGATGTTGTGTTCACCCTCCTGCGCTGTGCCCCATCGTGTGACAGGTACAGGGCCTCCCTGCCTTCAGGGCTCAGGGCTCACCAGCCTTCAGAGCACATCACCCTGTCCATCCTGTCCCACATGGTCTGCCAGAGGGGTGGAGAGTTCCAGGACCATCTGGAGCCTCTGTTTCCCAGCCCTGCCATGTCAGCCTCCATCCTGCTGCCATGGTCCCTCCCTGCTCCTCAAGGCACTTTGGCCAGCACCCCCCTGACACAGAACTCTGGCCCCGCAGAGCTGCTGCAACCCTGTGGAAGATCATCGCCTCATCGGGAAGGACAGTGGTGAAGGTGCTGCCAAAGCTGCTCCGTGTGATGGAGAACTGGCCATGGCTCAGCATGCCCACCTCCGACGGGGACAAAACAGATGTCTTTGCCCTGGCTGTGAGTTTCTAGAACTGGACTTTACTTGCCCACAGGTCGCTTCTCCAGCAGCTCTCCATCCTCCCCGAGCACTGCATCTCCCTGCCTCAGGCGCTGGGCTGGAAACCTGGCTTAGGGGCGGGTTCAGGGGCACCAGGCTGGGGGCTGCCCCTGCATCTTCCCTGGCCTCTCCCCCCCACACCTGGACTCTTTCACATGGACATCTGGGCACTGAGACCTGTGTCCGGGTGCTTTATCTTTTGCAGGCAACCAGGGTGATTTGGGAGATTCTCCAGATACTCCAGCACCCAGAGCCATTGAAAATGTATTCCCCCCGCCTCCTCGCGGATCTGCTCTTCCAGACTTCCATCAGCCCAGAGCAGACGCCAGAGGAAGTTGACACCTTGTGGAGGGAATGCCAGAAACAATGCGACCTTCCAACAGACTCCAAGAGGTGCTCAGTCCCAGTCCTCCTGATCCTCTCATGCCCTCGGGGCTGCTCAGGGCTCCCAGCATGACCTGGGCTTTGCTCTGCACCCAGGTTTGCAGTGCTGACCCTGAAGGCCCTGCTTTGTCATCTGGAGTGTGAAGATGTCGTGCTTTCAATGGAACAGAAGCGCGGCTGGGACACGCTCCTCAGCGCCGACACCCACCACTACGCAGTGGGTCTGCTGGCCAGGTGAGACCCCCTTGTCCCCGCTGCCCCTGTCATTTCTGCCCTCTGCACGGGGCACCCCACGCAGTGCCCGTGGTCGTGGGCCAGAGGGCCTTGTCACCCAGGGATGGCCGAGCAGAGTGGCAAAGGCTGGGAGAGGCGGGTGCACAGGAGGAGCCGCCTCCCAGAGCGCCCTCCTCCCCTCCCAACCTGGTGGGGAAAGACCAGGACTCTGTCAGCGAGTCCCTGGAGAGGTTGGACCCCCGCTCAGGGTTGATGGTGCCTGTTTCCCCCGGGCAGGGAGATGCGCCGTGCCTCGAGCCCCTTGTATTACCCGATTGCCCTCTGCCTGCTGAGGCTGCTCACCAAGAAGAAGCCCTGCTGGGAGCTCCCTGCCATGGCATTCCTTGTGGAGGTGAGCCTGATGGCGAGCGCTGCCTTGCTGACCTGCCTCCACCTCTCTGCCCTTTCACCCCCACAGCTGCCTGGGACGGTGCCGCGCCCTGCGCTGCTGCCTGGGCCCAGCCCGGTGCGGGTCTGGGCTCCTGCCGGCCGGGCACCCCGTCACTGCTCCCTGCCTTTCAGGTCCTGGACTACCCGGACATGACTGAATGGAGTGACATCGTCCTGGAGATCCTTTCCAGGCACCTGTGGAGCCAGTGCACAGAGATGCGTCGCCTGGTGCTGAGAAGCCTGGTGGTGCTAAGCAAGGATCCTGGGATGGTGAGGAGGGGGCAATTGGCTGAAGCTGTGCCGGCAGCCTGGGGCTGGGGAGTGCAATCGCTTGGCTGGGCCAAGGGGAGATTTAGCTTGGGGAGTAGGGAAAGGTTCTTCACTCACAGGGTGCTCTGGCACTGGAACAGGCCCCACTGGGAAGAGGTCACGGCCCCAAGGCTGCCAGAGCTCAAGGACAGCACTCTCAGGGACACGATGGGATTGTTGGGCATGGTCCTGTGCAGGGCCAGGAGTTGGACTTAATGATCCTTGTGGGTCACTTCCAACTCGGGATATTCTAGGATTCCATGATTCATGGCTTCACAGCACAGCATTGTGTTCCACACAGGCTGACGGCATAGAGAGGCTGACACCAAGCCTCATGGAAGTACTGTGGGATACAGACAGAGAGCTGGTCAGGATGGCCCTCTCTGTATTCATCAATGAAGTCCAGGACAGAGACATCCGAATCTCCACCCTCACTGCCCTGCAGCTGGCTGAGATGCTCCAGCCACTCTTTGGCTACGTAAGGCTCTGTGCCCCCCACCCCAGGCGCTGGGTGCTGCCAGGAAACTGTGGCCTGTGGATTTGCAGGCTTGTGCCCCGGTGGGCCTGGAGCAGCTGAGGTCTTTTCCTCTTTTTTTCCATCAGGACAACATCCACGTGCAGGTGCTCTCCATTAACCTCTTCCAAAAGGTGATGGAGTTGGGAGTGGAGGAGAGTAAACAACCCCTGAAGACACATGTCATCTACAGCCTGCTCCCACTTTTTTTCCACTGGCATAATGAGAACCAGGACGTGGCAGAAGTGAGAACTTGCAGGGTCTGGTGTCCCCGCGGCAGGGGGCTGGGCTGTCTCCTGCCCTGGCACCTCCAAGGCTCCAGTCTCCTCCTGGCCTTGGTCCAGGGACACGGGTCCCGTGCCCTGGGCTGCGATGCCATGTTCTGGTCTCTGTTGCTCTGCAGGCCTCTCGGGGAGCGCTGCTTCGTGCAGCAGGGTTGCTGAAGAGGAGGGATCTCGTGAAGCTGCTGGAGACAGAAGAGCCTTGGAGGTTCAGTGAGTGCCTGGTAAGGATGACCCCAAAGTCCCCGATGCCCAGAGTGCGGGGCTGGCACTGTGCCCCTGCCCACTGCTGCAGCCGCCCGCGGGACAGCAGCCTGCGCCCCACCCGCTGCTGCCTTGCCTGGGGCGTGCGGGCTCCTCTGCAGGCTGCTCTGCCCCCGAGCCAGGGGGCCGCTGGAGCCCCAGCCCAGCTGGGCTGTGGGGCAGGGCGGCCCAGCGACTGCCGGGGAGCAGCCAGCCCTCTGCTCCCTCCAAAGCCGGCCCCAGCGGCTGCTGCCCGGGCCTCAGGGCTGTGCGGGCAGGGGAGGCCAGTGCTGGGCGCAGGCAGCGCCCGGCCAAGGGGCAGAGCCCCAGCCAACCCTTCCCTCTGTGCCCTGCTGCTCTCTGCAGCTGGAAAAGGACAAGAGAAGAGCAGTTGAGTACCTGTGCCAGGCCCTGCCATACCTGGAGAGCCCACAGGAGCCCGTGCGAGAGGCGGCCCTCAGGTTCATTGGTGAGCCACAAGGTCCCTCCCCGCCCCACTGCAGCTCGGTCCCAGCCCCGGCTGCTGCAGCAGCAGCAGGATGCGGCCCAGGGATGTGCTGGGGAGCCCCGAGTGCCCTGGTGGCTGCTGCCGCCCTGTGCCAGCCCAGCCCTGGGGAGTCCCGAGGCGGGAAGGCCCCGGGCTCAGCCCTGCCAGGGCAGGAGGGTGTGTGGCTGGGCTGGCAGCACCGCCGGGGGGGAACTGTGCCACTGGGGCCCTGACAGGATCTGTGTTCCCAGGGATGGCCGGCAGGTACCTGAAGGGACAGCGGGTAGAGCTGCAGATTGTCATTGACGGTGAGTGAGGGCAGTGGGGCTGGTGAGGCGAGCACAGAGCCTGGGGCAGGGAGCTGCAATCCTGCCCTGCCTGCGCTGGGCTCTGCTCCCTGCATGGATGAAGAACGGCTTGGGCAGAGCAGGGAGAGATTTCAGGGCCACGGGGGGTATTGGTGGCCAGTACATCCTGGCTCATCTCGTTGGGCCCTGCTCCCTCCTGGCCTTGGCTCACCAGAGATCTGCTCTCTGACCTTGGCTCCGTTCTTTTCTCTTCCAGTTATTGAAGGCATGACTCCCGACAGCGCTGCTGTCAAAAGCCTGGCACTTCAAACCCAGGAAATCCTTAGACTTGTCCAGAGACTTCAGCCTTCTCCAGGTTCCAGCAGTTTGAACATCAGGTCCAGAATGCACAGAATAGGGAGGCTCCTCTCTGGGGCAGCTGCCAGAGGTCAGCGGAGAACTGATCCTGGGAACCCTGTCTGATGGGACCACCTGAGCCTGCGCGACACACCCCTCTCTGCAACCAGTTCCTGTTCCCCCAGCTTGAGACTATGAAATTCCTCTCAGCATACACAGAGGTTCAGGAGTTTTTTTTGGTGCCCGGTGTCCACAGGGCGTCTGGGAAGAGGGGAAAAAGGGCCCTTGTGCTCCACAACACTTGCCCAAAGGTGCAGTGGGGAAGGGAAAGTGCCCAAAAGGCCCTTGGCCTTGGGGGGTTCTGCTGGAGCCTCAACACTTTCAGCAGAGCGGATGGGCAGAGCCTGGAGCTGTAGGGCTCCCTGAGAAGCTGGTCCTGGGAGGTGGCCACAAGCCCTGTGCCAGGCTGGAAGCAGCATCTGTGGCCTGCCCGTGTGTTGCTGTCTGGCTTGCTGAGGGCTGGGAGGTGCCTGCTGAGCCAGCTCCCGTGGAGCTCCTTCAGGGCTGTGCCGCTGCGGGGCTGGTTGTTGGGGCTGGGGGAGAGCCTGAGGGGACGGGGCACTGGGAGGCCCTGAAGGGCTGAGGTGCTGCGGAGGCCCTGCCGGGACAAGGGAGTGGGAAGCAGCGAGGGGAATGTGTGAGGGAGTGGGCGGCAGGAGGCTATGAGGGGACAGGCTGGGCAGAGGGTACCCTGAGGGGACAGGCTGTGGGTAGGGCTGAGCAACTGGGGGGCAGAGGCCATAAGCAGCCCCCAGGCAGCCTCCCAGTTCCTTGCCAGCCGGCTGCTCTGGCGCTTGCCCGGGGTATCTCCCATGCCTGCGGCAGAAGGCCTGGAGGCCTGGGCAGGAGGGCGGGCACACCCTCAAGGCGGCCAGGCTGGCCTGGCTGGGGACAAGGATGGCAAGGGGGCCCTGCCGGGGAACGTCCCCTGGGTGCTGCCGGCCAGGGGCAGGGGCAGGGCCGTGGGCCAGCCCGGGCCCCCGCGGCTGCCCAGCCCATGGGGCTGTGTCCCAGAGCCCGCTGAGCTGGAGCTCTGGGCCCACGGAGCTGCTGCCAGCACGAGGAGGGCGCGGGGCTCCTCAGGCAGGGCCGTGCAGTCGCTGCTGCCCAAGCCACAGACAACAGCAGCAGGCTGTGCACAGGAGCAGCAGCAGCCACAACGCCTGGGCCTCCTCAGCCAGGCACCCACACCGGCCAGCATGCCAAAAGCGGGCATGCTGTGGGCACAATTGCACCGGCTTTGGCCAAAGGCCTCAGGAAAAGTGGTCACAAGCCTCTCTATTGACTGCCCAGCCTGAAATGATCAGGCAGAAGAGCTGAGTTTTCACTTATTTTTTGAGCTGTCACCAAAGTTTATTTCCAGCTATCTTAGACACTTTTGAGAACAGACCCTTCTCCCAGACATAATGCAGTTGGTGAATTGCAGTCGTATCTCAGATGTAGCTGGAGGGGATGGGTAGGGGGAGATGGAAGCAGACATTTTGCCTGTACTTGGCATCCTGAGACAGTGCTTAGAGTGCTCTGCTGTCACATCAAATCAGAGGAAGATGCCATGAACTGCTCACATCATTCCCCTCTTTCCAAGAGGACAATATGCTGTCTTCTCTTATGATCACTTTTTGAGATCCTCCTCAGTCATGGCTGTAAGGAGGACACTGGAGCTGGAGAAAAGCCACCTTCTCTTTACAGTCAGCCTTAAACAGAGGGGAGAGTGGCTGTGTGCATCTTGGAGCTCTCCTTCACCTCTCTGCCCTGATGTTATCAGGCTCTTCCTTTTTTCAATAATTAATAGCAACAGTCATAAGGGCAATGCAAGAATAACTGAGGAAGCCCACTTGAGCATATAGGATCATGCATTAACAGCAGCTCCAGGGAGCATCTTTTACTCCTTTTACTGTCCTGTCCGACTCATGGCGCTGTTCTTGCCCGGTAAGAGCAGTGTTTTCCACTGTGGTGCCAACCTTCCAAAGCAACTGGTGGTTCTGGGTGGCTTTGGCCTTGGCTGCCCAACTTGGAAAGTTTTTAAAGGGCCCAGTTTTGGACAAGCAGAAGCAGCATCTCCAGTGAAGCAACTTGGGTCAAACATCTAAAACTTGCAGGCTCCTCCTTGTTCCCTGAGAAAAAGATCAGGCCATATTTCATACCTCACCATCCTCCCTCCTCACCTAAAGCTACCAGTCAGGGGGCAGCTAATCCCCAAACTGCTGGTGAGGAGCCTCTCCTCACTCCTGTCAGGACCCTAAGGGCACTAATAGACCTTGATGGCCCTGACCAGCCCCTCATTAAGCTGGAGTGTTCTGGAGCAATTCACAGTTGCTATGTCCGACCTGCAATGCCACTTGCTGGCCATCACACATCAATCCATCTAGTTTTATTTCTCCCAAGTCCCGTATCCAGAACCAGCAGTGGCTGCAGGGTTGTTGTGGTTTAACCCCATCCAGATCCCAAGCCCCTCACAGCCACTCGCTCACTCCCCCACCAGCAGGACCAGGGACAGGATGGGAAGGGCAAAAGCCAGAAAACCTGTGGGTTGGGATAAAGAGAGTTTAACAGGGAAAGCAAAAGCCACTCACAAGCAAAGCAAAACAAGGAATTCATTCACTGCTTCCCACGGACAGCAGGTGTTCAGCCATCTCCAGGAGAGCAGAGCCCCATCCCATGGAATGGGAAGACAAACACCATCACTCCAAACCTTCCCTTCCTTCTTTCCCCCAGCTTGATATACTGAGGATGATGTCATATGGTCTGGACTATCCCTTGGGTCAGTTTGGGTCACCTGTCCCAGCTGTGTCTCCTCCCAACCTCCCATGCACTCCCAACTCCCTTGCCAGTGTGGCAGTAGGGGAAGCAGAAAATGCCTTGGCTCTGTGTGAAGCTTTGCTTAGCAATAACAAAACACTTCTCTATATTATCAACTCTGTGTTCAGCACAAATCCAAAACATAGCCCTGTACCAGCCACTAAAAAGACAATTAACTCTACCCCAAGCTGAAACGAGCCCAAGTGTTCATGCTGGCAATTCTTAGTGTGATCTTAAAGATCCAGCAGGGCCATTTGCACCCAATTTCCCCATACAAGCCTCTGGAAGAATAGCTCCTGTGCTTCACAGAGCACCATGTTTTATCCATGAGTCTGCCACAAACCATGCAAGGCTCTTCCAGAGCAGCGTTAGGGAGAATTTGGCTATTTCCAAACAGAAGGCCCCAGAGGGGTAGGTGCTACTGAATCAATTAACAACCCCACACAGCAAAGGTGATGCCTTTGGTGAGATTTTCAGGCCAAGCCATATGTCTGGCAGCTAACCCTGGAGATTTGACTACATTCCCAGGGAAATGGCTGGTCTCTGGACTGAGAACTTTGCCTCAGGGCAAAAGCAACCCACCACTCATGCCACTCTCTTAGAGCCTTGCACAAATCCCACAGACTACGAGATGTTACGTGGGTACAGCATGGGCACCTCGTGCCTCCTGCCTCCACTGCAAAACGGGGAAGGGACCTTCCTGCAGGGGCCAACCCGCCAACATCCCAGCTCCAGAAAGGCAGAGAGCTCTGCCAGTGTTTGCTATAAATCCCTTGGGCTCAGGTCTAATTGTTAAGTAGGAATGATACGCTACTGGGAATTTCAAACACCTCTGTTAAAAAAGAACTCTGGGAAACAGTACAAGGGAATCACAGAAAGAGCTCTGAGATCCTGTGTGAGGTGGGAGAAAAAACACTTCTGCCAAAAACAAAGGATTAAAACCCATGAAGGGATTCAACTGCAGCTTGTGAAAATACCATATTTAGAACATTGGATCTAAGAGACATCATAAATAAATATCTAATCCATGATAGAAAGTCAAACCAGCTTCCTTTGACATACAAAGCATGTTTTAAATGGTTATTTTAACAAAAATTCCAGATTTTTTCCTGGAGAGAAGAAACACTCAAATGAACATTTATTGCATTTGAAACCCAGTTTCCTCTCTGATTTTTTTTTTTTTTTAAAGGACAATGTTGGCTGCTCCTGCCAGTCCTGTGTATAATATACATATCTTCCAAACACAGAGAGCAAAGTGTTGGCTGCAAATCAGAATTTTCCCTGCTAAACAGACCTCAGAATCATGGAATGGTTAGGAATACACCTTAGAGATCATCTGAGATAAGGTGAAGGGCGAGAAAGAATATCTCTGCCACTCCCAGAACAAGCTTTCCCCTGGACTATGGTTCAAAAGCACCAAAACTCTTAATTCCCATGAAATCCAAGCAGATCTCCAAACTGACAGAGGGCAGGCTTAGGTGAGATATTACGAGGATACTCTTTGCTGTGAGGGTGGTGAGGTAAATCCATGTTCCCTGTCCCCCCTCCTGAAGGGCAATGTCTGGTGCTGCTGCCATCAACGTCACTGCGTGTCAGGACAGACTGCACCAAACCCAAACAAGCAGAACAACCAGCCTGCTGACAAGGTTGTTCACAAAACCCAGAGTCTGGAATTGCCTCTGGCAGCGGCTTGCCCAGGGTTTAGTCCAGAGGAGGGAGACTTGCCCGTGTCACAGTTGCTTAGGCGTGAAGTGACAGCCAGTTGAGTCCCAGAGGGAAGGCTTTCCAGATGAAGCCTGTAGGTCGCTGCTTCCAACATTACAGGGACCAGTAGAGAGGGGAAGCTTGTGGGACAGTTACTGGGGCTGGGCAGGCTCAGCCACTGGGGGTGACAGCAGGAGTTTTAGGGACTGAAATCTCAGCGCAGCCAAAGCAGATGTAGAACAAAGCATAACATAATGGTTATGTTATCATCCATGGAAGGATCTACAAGGGACCTGCACTCCCATGGAGTGGGAACTGCTGTCCTTTTAAGAGAGTCCCACTGTCTTGCTCAAAACTATGAGGAGTTTCTTGCTAGAGGCTGGTGCCACAGTGGGAAACTGAGGGCCCTTTGTGTTGAATGAAACCCAAAGTTTCCCCTGGATGGGTCCTTAAAGATAAGGAGCAGCAGAATGGCTGTGCTTATTACAGGGACTGCACCAAGTGACACAGGGTGGCAGTAGAATTACAGGATCATGGAATCATTACAATTGGAAAAGCCCTCTAAGATCACAGAGTACAACCATTAACCCAGCATTGCCAAGTCCACCACTAAACCATGTCCCCAAGTGCCACATCCACAAGTTTTTTGAACA